AATGTTTAGAGTCTGGATTTAAACAGCGTCACAGAAGAGTCTGTCTCACATGTTCAGACTGTTCCAGGTTTTAGCTGCATGAACCTGAAACTCTGACTCCCCTTGTTTAGTCGTGACTCTGGGCACCAGCAGGAGTTGGTCCCTGAGCTCCTCAGAGTGTGAGATGTTCATATGACACTAACATGTCACAGATGGACTTTGGTGCTCGACCATGGAGACACTTGTACAAACAGAGCTGCTTTAAAGTCTCTGAGCCACAGGAGCCAGAGCAGAGACCTGAGACCAGGACTTATGTGATCGTACTTCCTAGTTCGAGTCAGGACCCGAGCTGCAGCGTTCTGGATGTTCTGGATGTTGTGGATGTTGTGGATATTCTGGATGTTCTGGATGTTCTGCAGCGTCTCACAGCTCGTTTGCAGAGACCAGTGAGCAGAACATTACAGTATCTAATCTACTGGAGACAAACGCATGGATAAGTTTCTCCAAGTCTGATTTAGACAGTAAACCTTTGATTTTCGCTATGTTTTTTAGATGGTAAAAGGCTGCAGATGTTATTGATTTGATGTGGCTGTTAAAGTTCAAGTCTGAGTCCATTATTACCCCGAGATTTCTTGCCTGATTTGAAGGTTTTAGAGAGAGAGACTGGAGGTGACTGCTGACACTGTCCCTTTGTTTCTGTGGACCAAACACTATGACTTCAGTCTTGTCAGAGTTTAGCTGGAGAAAGTTGTTTTGCATCCACACACTGATCTGTTGGATGCAGTGACCAAGTGACTCCACTGGTCCATAGTCTCCTGCTGCCAGAGAGACGTAGATCTGAGTGTCGTCTGCATAATTGTGGTACGACACGTTATTGCTGCTTATTAACTGGCCTAATGGCAGCATGTAGAGATTGAACAACAGGGGGCCCAGGATTGACCCCTGAGGCCCCCACAGGTCAGGGCCATGTCATCTGAGACACAGTTTCCAATTTCAACAAAATACTTCCTGTCTTCTAGATAGGACTTGAACCAGTTTAGTACAGTACCAGAGATGCCCACCCAGTCCTCTAGTCTCTGTAAGAGGATCCATGATCGACAGTGTCAAAAGCAGCACTCAGATCTAACAGGATCAAGACTGAGACTTTGCCTGCATCAGTGTTCAGGCGGATGTCATTTGTCACCTTGATAAGAGCAGTCTCAGTGCTGTGGAGGCTCTAAAAAACCTGACTGGAAAACATCAAAGGAGTTGTTCATTTGGAGAAAGTTCGTAAGCTGTTGGTAAACAGCTTTTTCAAGGACTTTGCCAAAAAACGGCAGATTTGAGATGGGTCGGAAATTGTTCCGTACTGTGGCATCAAGACTGCTCTTCTTTAGGAGAGGCTTAATGACCGCAGTTTTCAACGCGTTTGGGAATGTTCCAGATTGAAGTGACATGTTAACTATGTGAGTGAGTGGTGAAAGTAAACTGTTGAGGACAGACTTTAGAAATCTAGTGGGTAACATGTCCAGGCAGCAAGTAGATGAACTCAGACTGGTAACGATCTCTAAAACAGTTTTGTCAGTTACAGGTGCAAAGTGATACTACTACTACTACTATTACTATTACTACTACTACTACTACTATACTACTATTACTACTACTATACTACTACTACTACTATTACTTCCACTACTACTACTATTACTACTACTACTACTACTACTACTACTACTACTACTACTACTACTACTACTACTACTACTACTACTACACAAACCTTTGACACATTCTGGGATCATTCAGACACTTTGAGGACCAAAACTTCACACGTTCATGAACACACTGGCACAATTTAATAAGAAGTATTTTTATATTTATTTTATTTATCCTGCATTTTGTCAGTTTATTGTTTTATTTGGCAGAACTACTTCTTATTTACAAAGTTCTAAATGTAAATATCTGAGCAGAAGAGCTGGACACACCTGGAAAATCTACGCTACACTCCAGCTGTTTCTTGTATTTGACCAAAACTGTTTTTAAATCCAGTAGTTGTTCCAGAATGTCCCACTAGAGGGCGACACTGCACAGGTTTAGTTTTATTTACGGTTTATTGAAACAAACTGAAATGTGTTTTAAAACCGCTTCTCGAAATCGAAATGTTGAAGTTCACGAATGCAGTAAACAAGAACTTTACCCAGTTTTATAATCTTGTATTTTTGTGTCAGAAATGTTCTTTATAATGTGAAATTAAAGTTAAATGTGTCATAATGAAAGTAAAATATGAGATTCTTATGGTGTCTTTATGTGTTCTCTGGATTTGTATTGTTTTTTTTTTTTTTGTTTTTTTTACATTTTAGAGCCCAAAGCAGCATAAAAATACTCACTTGTTTACTGTAATTGAGGAGAATATTTGAGTAATTGTACTTTACTAGAAACTACGATATGATCTCGATACACTGCACTTTTGATTCAGTACGTTATATTTCAAATCGATTCAACACATTTCAATAAAAAATAAAGATTAAATCAATGTCTGTGATACTAAAAGTCTTTGTTAAATAATTTCTTGTGCAAAATTAAAATGAAACACAAACATTTAAATCATCGAAAATGTCAAATGTGTCGTATAAAGAGTTTAAACAAGCAACAACATTGTAACCAAAAAATCTTCTTACCCACGATATCGATACTGTATCATCACATTAAACGATACGATATATTGATATTTAGATTTACACAAAATTATACAAAACACAACGAAACTGGGAGTCAGTGCAATAATCAGTTTATTTATTTCATGTTTCCACTGAGTCGTGTCCTTTAGTCTGACAGAAGCTGAACCACATCAGCGACACGAGGATCGAGCCGTTTTTATCAGAGACATTAGTTTATGTCAAATGAGTCATGTGATTTTAAAGTTTCAATTTCTGTAAAACATAAACAAATGTGTCAAAACTGCATTAAACACATGATAATGTCAAACAGCTGATGTGGCTCTAGAGCACAGGGTCAAACATAAGGCCCGGGAGCCAGATCCGGCCCTCCAAGACCTTTAATCTGGCCCTTGGCTGATTTTCAACTTAAATATTTTTATTAAAAATATTGGTAATTTTCTGTGGTGTTTATCACAGCAGCGTCTCCAGCGTCTCTGTACGTGGCCCCTCCCACCAGAGCAGCACAAATGAAGACTTGTCTCTTTCCAAACGCTCTTAAAGGACGATCGTTTTGACTGTTGACCGTGACACCCTCATCAGAAAAATGTCCAACATGAGAAAAGTGGAGCCGAGTGCAGAATTTTACAACAAAAATGTAGTTATTCCTGTTTACATACAAGTTCATGTTAAAACATTGTGTTGAAATTGTATTTTTCTTAAAGTTTCAGGTTGTTCATAATATTATAATATTTTGTAAAAGAAAGAGTTTATCAATTAAAAAAGATTTCTGTAATAGATTTGTGTTTCTCTGCACAAATATTTGAACTTATTGTTATTTTTGGGGTTTATATGACATGAGTTTTCTGATCCGGCCCCGGAGTTTGACACTCCGGCACTAGAGTTTATATTTTGCAAAGTTGAGTTTATTTATGCAGATTAGTAATAGTAATAATAATGATGATAATGATGGTTTTCGTTTTATTTCAAACATGGGAATGAAGGTGAAAAGTTGAAAATAAAACAACACAGAAAAAACAAACCTATATATATATATATATATATATATATATATATATATATATATATATATAGTTCTCGCATGTCGCCCATGCCAGTGATTTACTTTAGTTTTGGTTTTGAATCTGGCAACCCAAATGACAGAGTCATGTGAGGCTCATTCTGCGTTCTGATTGGATAAAAGTCTTGAACCAAAACACCCAATAATTATGGTTAAAACATGTTCCACAGTGGAGCTTTAAGACAGAACATTTAACTTAATAATAATAATAATAATAATATAATAATAACAACAATAATATCTTTCTTGTCTTCCTGTTTCCTCTGGTGCTACAGCCAAAATCGTCCCCCGAGCAACAGCAGCACATGGAGGAGGTTCTGGGTCGGACCATGTGCTTCTGTGGGCGGGGGGGTTTGGACTCTCCTCTTTGTTTGTATCTGCTCTGTTTTAACCCGTTTCACTTCTAAATGTGTCAAGACGAGTTTAATAAGAAGTTAACTGAAAAAGTCGACCGTTCGTGTGGTTTTGTGTTTGGTTAAGTCGTAAAATCAGACCTCTTCTCCTCGGCCCCCCCTCTGTGTGTTGCTGTGGTTGCGTCTGCGTTGTTAGTGTCTCTACATAAGGCCGTGTGCTCCGGAGACGCTGTGAGTCGTGGAGGAGCCAACGGGTAAAATATTCTCTTTTATTTTAAACTTTCTGCTTCGTGTAACTTAAAGGAAGTGTGTGTTTTAAAAAAGTAGAGATCATGTGAGGCTCATTCTGCTTTCTGATTGGGTAATTGTCTTGAGTAGTGGGACCAGATGTCGCTGTTTACCCGGGACAGTACCAGTTTTGAGCTCTGTCCCAGCAGATTTATCCAAACACCAGTGATTTGTCTCAATTTTATACAAAAAAATGTCCCAGGTGTCTCTATTTTGGACCAATCTGATCCCTGGCAATAGTAAAGAGACGCATAAACTGACATTTGTTTAGAAAATCTGCTTAAAAAAAGACCAAAACAAAATGCGATCAATGTTTAGGCCGTCTAAGATACTTTCACTATTAACTAATATTCAGTGTTGGGGAGTAACAGATTACATGTACCTGAGTTACGTAATCAGAGTACAAATTATGAGTAACTGTTTTCAGTTACAGTTACTGTTTTAGTGAGTGGTATTTGGATTACAGTTACTTTGTTGAAATAAATGGATTACACAGAGGTATTTTCCTGTTTTCACATTTTGGGCTAAATCCATCCAAAACCAGGTCTAATACAGGTCTAAACAAGGACTGAACCAGGACTGAACCAGGACTAAACCAGGTCTAAAACCAGGTCTAAAACCAGGTCTAAAACCAGGTCTAAACCAGGTCTAAAACCAGGTCTAAAACCAGGTCTAAAACCAGGACTAAAACAGGACTAAAACAGGACTAAAACAGGACTAAAACAGGACTAAAACAGGACTAAAACAGGACTAAAACCAGGTCTAAAACCAGGTCTAAACCAGGTCTAAACCCACAACTAAAACAGGACTAAAAGCAGGTCTAAACTAGATCTAAACTAGATCTAAACTAGGTCTAAACTAGGTCTAAACTAGGTCTAAACTAGGTCTAAACTAGGTCTAAACCAGGTCTAAACCAGGTCTAAACCAGGTCTAAACCAGGTCTAAACCTGGTCTAAACCTGGTCTAAACCTGGTCTAAACCTGGTCTAAAACCACGACTAAAACAGGACTCAAAGCAGGTCTAAACTAGATCTAAACCAGGTCTAAACTAGATCTAAACCAGGACTAAACCAGGACTAAACCAGGACTAAACCAGGACTAAACCAGGACTAAACCAGGACTAAACCAGGACTAAATTCTGCTGGGCGGACGTGTCTCCTCGTCTTCTATCAATAATATTTTTAATACGGTTACAGAAATACAGAAAATCTGGGCTTTTTATTTTCTTTTATCAGACAAAATTTCTTATGTTACGATTTCCTCGTCTTTGTTTCTCTACAGCAAATCAAGTAATCCAAAGTATTCAGATTACATTACTCACTTTAAGTAATTTAATGGATTACATTACAAACTACATTTTGGGGTGTGTAATCTGTAATCTGTAGGGGATTACATTTTAAAAGTCACCTTCCCAACACTGCTGATATTGGGTTTATGAAAACATTTGTACCCAACAGATTAGATGTAGGATTTAGAAAATGGTCAGATTATAATTTACTACACCTATGTCAGTGGATTAAGGACAACAACATTAAAACTTTTCAACAGCTGAAGTCAGAATTTGGCATTCCCAACACTGAGTTCATTAGGGATTTACAATTAAGATCATTTTTGAACAACTACTGTGCCCTGCTCCTATAGAGGCTTTGCACCGTGACGTGACCCCAATAACAACAGTACCTTCGCCGCCATGACACCGGGCAACACTATGTCACTGACTTCAGCAGCATCAGAGAAACATGGGCAGGTTTTATTGTGTATTTGGTTGTTCTAGATGCTCTGAACGGGATAAAACAATTAGTTTCTTCACTGTTCCTCTGGAAGTTACTCATCAGGAGCTCAAACAAGGGAATTATTGAAAAAAAAACAGGAATTATGGCTAGAGAACATAAACCACGAAGAGATTTCCTATGGTACCCATCTAGGGCTGGTATCATTAAGAAGTTGCCGATAGGATACATACCTCGATACACAGGCCACGATACGATACATATCTCGATACAGTGCACTTTTGATTCGATATGATATATTTCAAATTGATTCGATACGGTTCAATAAAAAATAAAGGCTAAATCGTGGCTGTGATACTAAAAGTCTTTGTTAAACCAGTTTTTGTGCCAAGTTCATATGAAACACAAACATTTTAATCATCAAAACAGTAAAAATGTGAGGGGAGAGCTGAGAGAGTCTCTGGTGGTGAAACAGGCACAGTTTTGTATGGGGGAGAGTTCAACATAGTTGATGTCAGAACCCTTGACCGTGCTATATTAGGTGTGAGAGGAACCATCTTGATTCCCGATCTGATGAGGCTTTCTAGATGGTTGGGCAGTGCCATGGGTGAAGGTGGGGAGGAGAAGGAGAGTGAAGAGTCCGTTGATGGAGTAGATGTAGCAATGGGGACTCCAGGCTGGTCTGTGGGCAGCGGAGGTGATGGGTGTGCTGGTGGCACTGGGGGAGGTGGTGGTGGTGTTGCTGACTCATTCTCTGGGGGAGGTGGTGCTGCTGACTTGTTCTCTGGGGGAGGGGGAGGTGGTTCTGTCTCTGGGGAAGGGGGAGGTGGTTCTGCTGACTTGTTCTCTGGGGAGGGGGAGGTGGTTCTGCTGACTTGTTCTCTGGGGGAGGGGAAGGTGGTGATGCTGACTTGTTCTCTGGGGGAGGGGGAGGTGGTTCTGCTGATTTGTTCTCCGGGGGAGGTGGTTCTGCTGACTTGTTCTCTGGGGGAGGGGGAGGTGGTTCTGCTGACTTGTTCTCCGGGGGAGGTGGTTCTGCTGACTTGTTCTCCGGGGGAGGTGGTTCTGCTGACTTGTTCTCTGGGGGAGGGGGAGGTGGTTCTGCTGACTTGTTCTCCGGGGGAGGTGGTTCTGCTGACTTGTTCTCTGGGGGAGCGGGAGGTGGTGATGCTGCTGAGTTGTTGTCTGGGGGAGGGGGAAGTGGTTGTGGTTGTGGCAGTGGTGGTGCTGTCAATGGTGCTGACTTGTTGGCTGGTTCTCTGTTAGGTGCAGTAGGGATGCTTCTCCCATTTCTCTTTTCTCTCACTGGATGCACAGGACCCTGTCCAGGCCGGTGCCTCAGAGCGTGGAGGAGGTTTTCCGTCAACACTCTCACTCCACCTCTGCTTAGGTGTGGGCCATTTCCCTCGAACAGGTCCTTCCGTTTCCAAAAAAGATCAAAGTTCTCAATGTAGTGCAATCCTCTGGCCGCGCACACGTTCAGCAGCCACGTGTTCAGCTGAAACAGTCGGGTAAATTTGTTCCTGTTCCTTAGGTCTATGTTGGGAAGAGGTCCACTGATAAATGTCTTAACCTCCACTTTATTAAGCTCCTCGAATAATTTAGTGAAATCCCTTTTCAAGACTTCACTCTGTTCCATTCTGATGTCCACTGCACCCACATGCACAATCAGCTGTTTGACCCCTTGATGTGTTGACAAAACTTTTGGCAGGAGTTTTGTTATCTCAGAAACAGTGTACGTTGGGTAGCAGCATGTTAGGATTCTTCTGTGACTCACACCACTGATAGCCCCGTCTCCTAGCAGCAACGTATCTCTGACCTTGACGTTTGGCACAGATTCCCGGTATGCCTGCACTCTTTTGCCAACTTTATTGTTCTTGTTTTGTGATGACAGTACATTATCCCTTTGTACATTAACATCAGTCTGTGACAGTGGTGAAAATCTGTTTGTTGGCTTTATTGTGGGTGATATAACGATATTAGCATTGTCTTTTATCACTCGCTGCGCTGGCTTAGCATTTTGGTCTGTACCAAGTTTTGGAAAAGACACAGTATCACTCAGGTTTAAGATGAAAGAATTTTCACCCTCTTCTCTGGAAATAACTGTAGGTTGCTCACCACTGGACGTCACTGGTAGCGTCTGATGAAGTCCTTTTTCAGTTTCTAAAGCAAATATCCGTGCTCGCAGCTCATAAATTTCTTGTTGATAGTTCCGACAGCGCTCACAGATAGAATTCCCTTGGTTTCTTCTCCCCGACATGTTGGCTCATCAGATGATTTGTTAAAAAATGTAAAAATGTTTAAAAGTATTAATTAGCTTAAAAGGAAATCAAAAATAGACACATTATCCGTTGTTTGAGGAGGTAAACTGATTAAAAAGCGAAAACAGCAGGAGCAAGCAAGGATAGCGTCCGCACTCTTCAGAAGCAGGAAGTACTGTACAAATGCATCTGTGTTTGTCACGATGTGCGTTTGGTTTGGTAAACGTGCAGAGGCTGGTAAATAACTGTCTAAGAAATCATCCTGAGTTTACAGAGAACATTTTGTATGTGGAGCGACAACAAAACAAAATCCCGTTTGTTAATGGAGAGGAGCAGAAGACAAACAGACTGAGCTGCACTTTCTTGTTCTTGTGGTTTTACAGCAACATCACGTCTTGGTCTCTTTGCAGTGGAAGGTGTTTCTTGGTGAACAGTTGGTGCTTTTCACTTTGGTGGTGACTTTTTAAATTCGTAACCGCGGTTGTGTGAGGGATCGGATTTTACTTTGGACAGAGAAAATTGCGAAAATGTTCTCTGTAAACTCGGGATGATTTCTTAGTCAAATGTTTCCTTTTTGGTTCTTCCTGTGGATCAATCCTGCCCATCACCTTCACCTTTCACTATTTTTCAATTCCGTTGGGAAGAAAAACAGTTTGAACAGAGGTTTGATTCACACACATCTGATTCACTTTTGCATTTATGGAGTTCGCAAACAAATTTCTCGAGTCGTTTTCCGCTGTTAGGATCCAACAACCACACAATTACGATGTAAGATAAGATAAGATAATCCTTTATTGTCTCCCATGGGAGAAATTTGTCTTGGGACGGGGGTCACATGCTTTATCAAAAAACAGGACAACACAACACAAAGCAGCACATAAACAAACACCATAAAACTAAGTAAATATGAGACCGAGTCTGACCACGAGTGATGCACCAACAGGACCCTTAAATTATCCTTAACAGGCAAACCCTTGCATTCTTCTGTTCTATTAATTATTGCACATTCCCTACACTTATGTGCAGTTTTGATTGCACAAGCCCTAAGCCTTTTATAATTATTTTTTAACTGCACTATCTGAGTTTAGCAGATTGTCCGAATCCCAAAACTAAAATATGACAATATCAGAACCAGAAACAAAAGTGATATGGTTCAAAAGACTTGAAAAAATCGACTTTGTCAATAGACACATCCCACTGGGAAAACAAACATGGAGGTTTGAGTCTCACTTGTTCGGAAAATCCTTCCCAGTCTGAATTGCGCGATGACTGGAAGTCTGAAATTTGTGATGCGTGTATTAGGTCTTATAGTCAGAAAAATACAGTAATTATGATTAACCACAGTAAAAACATGACACCTGTCGTATGCACTTTGACCCCGACAGGTGCAGCGGGGGGTCAGCAGCACCTGGAGGACCTGTCAGAGGTTGCCATGGTGAAACTGTCGTACTGTCACATCCTGCCGCTGCTCTGCACCGTCGCCCTGGTGCCTGTGCTCTACATCTCCTGGGCCGATGTCTCTCAGAAAAAATGGTGAGTCCGTCCTCTCCTCTGATCACAGACCAAAGAGACAGCCAAATGAAGCTCAGCGAGGCCGGCAGCTAACCCCAGAGATCGTGTAGATCAGGGGTGTCAAATTCATTTTGGTCCAGGGGCCGTATCCAACCGACTTTGATCCCAAAGGGGCCGGATCACAAAACTCATGACACATAGGCGAGTTTCATTGTTGACAAAAGCGCACGTTGCATGCTGGGAATTATTTTGGTCGGCGGCAAGAAACACTAATTCAACATGACGGACGGAGCGAGAAAGCACGTAAAGGGTATTGATCCTGGTTATTTATCCACTCTAACGGCAGAGGACCCAAGACCATTTGACCAGAAACTGGTCATAAACATCGATGGACGACAAATCACCCTTTTCAACCCCGACAAAAGGTGGAACAAACCAAATTTCTGGTCAGAATCTCCAACTACCTGGACAAATATTCACTTGGGTGATATCCACAATGACTTGGTGGAAACTCCTGGACCATTCACAGCAGAAAAGATGAAAACCTCCAAGAGTCTCGATGTGTTGTTGAACTTGTTGGAGTCCACGGTTTGTTAGGATCTTCTACGTTTGCTCTGCGGATGTTTGAAAGTCGTTTAATTCAGCGTTAGTGGTTCTTTTCACTCGGAATAAGAAAAAGACATTTTCCGTCTTCCGTGCTTCTATTTGTGCATCCGATAATGCAGCAGGAATTGACCATTATTGGGGGTAAATACGTGAGGTTACACACTGTGTTTGACGCTACCGTGTTTCTTGCCTCCGACCAAATATTTCCCAGCAGCAACGCCGGCTTTTAATAACAATGACGTCAGCTGAAACTCACCTATGGTCTGTGTATGTCTGTGTTGTGTAACGTTGACTCGTCCTCTCATCCTGCAGTTTGTCGGAGTTGAAGTTCGATTTTCGGTTGTGGAGGTCTGAGTTTTCCACGGCTCCTCCCTCCACGACGGACCCGCCCGGCCTCACCCCCGTCCCCCTCCTGCACCTCGCAGACTACCACAGAATGCCCCAGTGGGACTTTGACGACGTGTACAGGACCGAACGACGGAGCCACAAGATCAGTCAGGTCAGTGTCACCTCAGGTCAGCATCCCCTCGGGTCGGCGTCTTCTTGGGTCGGCGTCACCTCGGGTCTGTCACCTCAGGTCAGCGTCTCCATCCAAACGTAGAGACGAGAACCTTCATTTAACTAAACTATCTTTTAGATATCTTTTAAATTATTACCAAAACTAAAATGTACTCGAGTAAAAGTACAGTTACATGACTAATATCTATATATATATTATTTCTTATTTTTTTTATTTATGTATTTATAAAGAGACTGCACATATTAACAAACATAAAAATATAAATATGTAAAGATTAAAGCAACGTGGCTCATTTCCATCTTCAGTCCCTCGGCAGGTTGATGTGAAATCATCTACAGGACACAGAAAAGTACAACAACAATCAATCAAAAGTACATAAAACCAGCACACGCACTGTACACACACACACACACACACACACGCACTGTACACACACAACACACACGCACTGTACACACACAACACACACACGCACTGTACACACACAACACACACACTGTACACACACTGTACACACACAACACACACACACACACAACTGTACACACACAATTACATTTCAAACATCATTTGAAGTTTAAAGTCAACAGTTTAAGAGTTAAACCAACATCCCCCGATATAAAAGAAAATGTTATTTGGTTAAACACTGTAACATATTTGTCCATTGATCATCATGTTTTAAATGTTTAGAAAACGCTGCAGTGTTTAAAGTTCTCGTACATGAGCTGCTCCGTGTTTCATGTTTGAGCTGCTCCAGAAACAAAAGAGTTTGTCCAGAAACACTTTTCGTAAACGGCACAGAGCAGTCGCCTCTAGAGCTGATCGTGTTGTGAGATCTGATTTTTTTTTTTTTTTCAAACTCCTTTAGAGGAGGTGAAGCAAGACTATTAAAAATGTTATATACCAAAATTAAATCTGAATATTTAATTGTGTTGTCCCAATTTAGGAATTAGTATTTGTCAAGGTTTCTGCATTTGTGGGCTTTTTGTCTAATACGTTAAGTACTTTTTTATAGATTCAGCTCTTTTAAGAGGAATTTTGCTTGTCAGAGTCCAACTAGTAATGCAATAATTTAGGTGGGGCAAAATTGATTGATTTGTTTTTATTTCGAGTTTGTGCCAAAAGAGAAACAATAATCATGTACACTACATACACACTGTAAACAACAGAAAAACACATTTCTCGAAAAGGAGTGGGAAGAAAAACTTGTATTAACCCACCACTGTTCATGACAGAGTTTTAAAAATGATGTGTTTACTTCTGAACATTGATCATGAAACTTAACAAATATTTGCATATAGCAACATAAATTACTATATTATGCATATAAAATATATAATTGTTTTCATTTTGTACTGTACATATATAGAACAGGATGTGGGAGAAATGGTTATTACGATACCAACAATCCAAGCTAACGGCCAAACAACTAGTAGCTCAATGTTCCAACATCCACAAACGGCAACTGCATCACAACTAGAGATTGATGAGGTACAACACAAATGCTACAGCAAGGGGGAACCAGTGTGCCAGGTCAG